ATCTTAATATATATCATATAAAGCTTAGGCTATAAAGCTTAAGCTATAAAAAAGGCAAAAAGATTAAGCCATATTTAGATGTTAATCTAGCCGAATGTTGAATTGTTCGGTTAGTTTGATACTTTCAAAAATCGAAGATCATGTTTATTTTAGGTTAAGCATCAAGTCACAAGCCTTTCAGCTTTCTTTTTCTTAGGCTAATAAGAAGTATTATCAATAAAAAGATAATTTATAAAAGCTTTTTTTAATTTTGTAATACATTTCTTTTGTAACAATTATTGATACTCCTTTTTCTTCTCCGACTTCATCTACTCCTTGGTTCAATTCCGTAGCGGTTGCTTTTTAATTATTTTGCTTATTTCGACCCTTTTAAAGGAAGTAAAGCGAAAATTATTATCCTATGCTTCATAAACTAAGTTTGTACCTGTTTATTTTTCTCTCTTTGATTTTCCTTTCTAAAGTATCGGCGACCTGAGTGCTTAAATCAGTTCAAATGCGTATGTAGTTTGTTAGGTTCTTCCCTTCTAAGTTAACGGAAGGTCAAAATAAGATTCAAGGCGGAGTTCCTATAATTAATATACTATCTCATTTAAACATACTATATATTGTTAATTATTTATATCAAAAGAAGGATAATCATAAGGGTTAACCTTTATTTCAAATAGCATAATGCTAATTTATTAAAGTTTAAAATAAATTTATCTTAGATGTTTATTAACCCGCATTTCTTTCAAATGAAATCAAGCAGTTTTATAATCAAAATTTTAACAAAGACTTATAGTTTGCCCATAGAATATTATCAGAAGAAATAATGACCAAAAAAAAAATTGGCCGGTTTCAAATGGATCGCAGCCAAATTTACCAAAAATAGTAAGCAATTTACTTTCGCATCTACAGTACTTTCTTAATTATGAATTATTTACTACATATAAATAACCTGCATTTAACAATAGTCATTTCACCTTAAGAATAAAAGAAAGCCTTAAAGGAAATAACTTACTTTTAAATTGTCTATGTATTGCAATGTACAGTAATACGGTAATAACTTTGTCGTTGATATTTAGGATAAATAATTCAACTTAACAATCGGAATTTTAAAATTATGTGAAAGCATATAATCTTTACTCCTCTTAAAGAAAGGTTATATAGAAGTAAAGATTTAGGCAATAGTACAGGAGCTATTAGTTTTGTTATTGAAGTATTGGATTCGTAAAGATGCAGGTTTGATAATATTTAAGGAATTGGTAAATTTGGTAAGCTATTTATTGGAGTACCATAGCAATAATGTTTTGTTAAAAAGTTTGGTAAATTTGGTAGGAGAGTTGTCGAAGTATAAGAGCAATTAAGGATCGTTAAGGAGTTGGGTAAAGATGGTAAAATAGTTATTGGAGTATAAGAGCAATTAAGTGTCGTTAAGGAGTTGGGTAATGTTGGTAAGCTATTTAAAGGGGTTTCGTAGCAATAAAGTTCGGTTAAGGAGTCGGGTAATGTTGGTAGGATAATTATTGAAGTATAAGAGCAATTAAGTATCGTTAAGGAGTTGGGTAATGTTGATAAGCTATTTAAAAGAGTTTCATAGCAATAAAGTTTCGTTAAGGAGTTGGGTAATGTTGGTAGGATAGTTATTTGAGTATCAGAGCAATTAATTACCGTTAAATAGAAGGGTAAAGTTGGTAAATTAGTTATTGGAGTACCAGTGAAATCAAGTTTTGTTAAGGACATGGTAATGTGGGTAGGATAGTTATTTTAGTATAAGAGCAATTAAGTTTATTTAAGGACTTGGGAAGTTTTGATAGGATAGTTATTGGGGAATAAGCGCAATTAAGTTCCGTTAATGAGCTGGGTAATGTTGGTAGGATAGTTATTTGAGTATAAAAGCAATTAAGTTTGCTTAAGGAGTTGGGTAATGTTGGTAGGATAGTTATTGGAAAACAAGAGCTTAAATTACCAGAGTAATCAAGTACCGTTAAAGAGTTTGGTAAAGTTGGTAAGCTGGTTATCTGAGTATTATTACACTCGAGTACTTTTAATTTCCGATATCTTTGCAATCCTCCTAAGACGTTTAATAAATCCTTGTTAAGATCCGTAATCGTTAATCTAATAGTATCATCGTAAATGATGACCGATGTTTTATAATTCGATTCTAATTTTTCTACATTCATTTGATTAAAATTTTGAATCATTTGAGACAAATCTCCATGTATTGAATTATTACGATAGAATAAAGTGGTTTTGACAATTGAAGATTTGATTCTTTATTATTCATCTGATCATTCTTTATAATATTTTCTTTTGTAATAATTGCATTTAAGTCATCAACTACTTTATACATAGACGGACGATTGTCTGGCTCATTGTCCCAGCACTCTAAGATCATAAGAACAATTTAGTGATCGAAAACATTGCATTCAAATTCAAATTTATAATTCATAATTTATAGTCTTACCTGTATAAAGTTTTACATAATCTTGAGGCGAACCTTGAATGATGTTTCTCTGAGTCCTTTTGAAATATCTTTAACTAAATCGATGTCGTATGGTACGCCTTCAAAAGGAGGATGACCACTTGACATCTCTCATAACAACACGCCAACACTATAAACATCGCTCTTCTCAGTTAGATTATCTTGCTGCGAAGTAATGACACTTTTATTTCGTCCACCAAATATTATTGGATCAATATAAGGTATTACGCCAAAGACTTTTGATTGTTGATTGGATGCCGCTTCAATTCATTTCGATAATCCAAAATCAGCAAGTTTAATAATCCCTTGACGAATTAAAATATTGTCAGAATGCTATAATAAATAAAAATCATTAATTAATACTTAATGACCAAATCACGATGTACAATTCCTTCTTCATGTAGACACGACACTGCACTAGCCAACTGGAATGCAAAGTTGTATTTATCATCCCAAGTAAGCCTATCAAAATTATTCTTCAAATAGGTTCTAGGTGAACCGCCATCAGCAAATTCCATTACTAACCAATACTTTTTCAAACGAACATCTTTTTCTAAGATTTTTTTTTTTTTTTAATTTTAAAAAATTTATAAATTAATTAAAAATTTAAAAAACATAAAATAAAAATGTCAATATGTATCTTTAATAAATAAAACATTACATACTTTGTTTTGAAGTTATCCCACAAAAACGAATAATATTATCATGAAAATCGACTTCACTTTGAAGTTCGAGCTAAAAATAAATTTTAGTTTATATATATTGAAATAGACCGAAATACATTTTATTATTTGTAATTACCTCACGAACAATTTCTTTAACAGTGGCGTTGTTAAGTTTATGAAAGGATTTTAACGCGAGAGGTTTTTTTGAACTTTTCCAATTTGCACGAAAGACTTTTCCTAAGCTACCATTGAACATTGCTAAAATGTTCATATTCGTAACATTTGATATTCTTTCTTAAAATATATTATTCTATCCAATTAATCCACTCATTTGAATTATTGTCAACTTGCATTTTGATTTTTTGATTTTTGTAAAATTGATAGTGAAAAAAAATGCACTTGGTAAATCATGTCATGTTAAATTACTAAGCCACCGATTATCCAATCAATCATTATCGATAAAGCATCTAATTCATACGCTAAATGTATCGGTCAATCAGCCCAGTACGAACTAATTTTGAAGAATCAAAATTGCATTTAAAAAAGGTCTTTATTGTATAATACTAAAAAAAAGATTTTTGCGTTTTGTAGATACATGGACGAAATTACAATATTAGTTACGTTCTAGGTACTTCTAATAATAGTGCTAATCAAATAACAAAGTTGATAATTTTGATATCAATGGAAACGATATGGAAACAGATATGGCCAACAACAACAAAGTCAATGAACTGAAGCTACTAAATTTTGTAACTCCTCTAGAAGAAGTTAACGAGGCTTTGAAAAAACTTGATAAGAACTTTCATTGAACTCCAATATGCTGCGCCCGGATACAAAGATTTTGAAGTTTCTAGGTATTTACATCCACATTATCATTCAACCTCCCGGTAAAGTATCGCAACATCTCATATATCATTAGGAAAAAAAGAAAGAGAACGAAACGAATAATGTAAGCAATATACAGTATACTACATATGATGTTGACTTGTAACCTTATTTCGTTCACTTTTTCACTTCAAGTTCTTTCGTTTATGTATTTATAAACAATTTGTATTGTAAGCAGAAGGTATTAATTGAATAAAATGAAGTAATATTGACGCTAAATTTATTTAATATTATCAATTCGTTCAGTGTTACCTCAACGTCGGCGCTCTACACTTTCGCTTTATCAAAATATTAAAACCAAGTAAATGCTATCAATTAATTAGAACTGCGCAATTACAAATTATTACATAAAAATTGTATAATAAACTACTAATAAAAATCGGAAATTAAAAATAAAATAAACGAAGTTACATATAAAAAGTTAAAACGGCGAAAGCGAGAATATCGCCAAGGTGGTAAATGAAGGATTTCGAAGTGAATTTATGCGAAGAAATATAACAAGGGCGAGCGTGGTATGTTGAGCTGTTTAAGGATTTCCGGCTTGTATATATAAAAAAAAATAATTAGGCCAGCCTGACGTTCTGTACATTTTGTCATACTGACAGCTTAACATACTTAACATACTGGCACCTTGACAGCCTGGAAAATGATCTTCAAAAGATTAACTGCAAATATCGAAAAGCGAAGATTTCCCTTGGACAGGTGCTTTGTGATCTGTCTTCACAATGCTAAAAATTAATTTTTTTTAATAATTATATTTAATGATTTGAAACCTCTTAATAAATAAATTATGAATGGATTTTATTTGTATGATTTAACAATTCGAGGCATATGTTAGTGTTTATTATAAAGGGTGTTGGAGGGGAAAATTAAACACATTTTTTTAAAAAAATGTGTTTAATTTTCCCCTCTTTAAAACCATACATACAACTTATTTATTTAATTTGTGATATTAATTTCAATGTTTTTTAAAAAAATCGAGTCACATGAAACTACTAACCTAATATCATTTATGTTGTTACATTAAAATCTCGGGACTTGATAATTTCCTTGTTATATTTAACTCTAATTTATTTTTATTTTTAATATTTTTTTATATTGTCTATCGTTGATGAAAATTCATTAGCATCTTTAAAAATATTATTTCTGAATACAGTTAATCGTTCAGCTTAAATTTTCTTTCAGCAAATCTAAAGACTTTTTTAGGGCAAAAACTCTCGCAGCATAGATTATTGGTATAAAATTTTTAATTATGCGATTTAATGAGAATTTATAATTGAAACTGGAAAAACTTTTTTTTTGATATTTGTTACTACAAAATGATGATGCCAGAAATAAAAAACGTACTATACGAATTTGAAATTAGCCTTTTTTCTTTTTTTTAGTAAAACTTTTAAACTTTCTATTTGATCAAAAAATTACGAAATATTTATTTATTTCAAGTGATTCTTTCTCACGATTACCAAAAAATGTACAATATAAAAATTTACCAAATTCAGATAAAGCTGTCAAATTATCTTTGAACAATTTTGTTAATAGAATTGTGAAGAAATTCTCCACGAACACTATTTAGAAGTTGTGATCGTGGGCATTTTTACAAAAATAAATACATCATGCGAAAAATGATCGATGACATATGTCCCCAATTTCTCCAAAACGTGAGAGTAAGAGGTAACGCACTTGTTCATAACCTCCGAGACAAAATGTCAGCAGGCATTCAATGTATAACTCAAAATTTTTGTTTTTATTTTCAAGAATAACTTCTAATATTTATACTTAAAGCTATTAAAAGCTATTAAACAACTTGATTTTCTTGCAGATTTTCTTAGAATATTAACAACATTATTTCAAAATAAAATATATATGTGATTATACGATTTGTACGTTGGATTCATTAATGCCATTATTTAGTAAGTAAGGAATTTAACTTTTCAAAAACATTTCATTTCACAAGGGTTATTTATGGAGGATTCATTTTATTAAATGGTCTCGATATTATTAAATTACTATTCGTAAAAATTTGAATTGAGATTTAATAGCAACCATCTGACTCCTAAATGTAAGGAAATGTAATAGGAGAATAGTTAGAGAAAAGTTAAAATGTCTTTTGAATTCGACTTGATATTACGGGAGATTAACACCTAAAAAATTTCATAAGCTTTGTGATTATAAGAAAATACTGTCACTCTTTTATAAATTAAAGGAACCGATTTATTCCTTTAAATGAACAACTGATAGTGAGAGACCCAGCACCTTATACTTTTTTTTTTTAAAAAAAAAAGGCAACCTATAATAAAAGTGTAATTTGAGTAACCGCATGAATGATTAGGGTATCAAGATTTGGTAATCATTGTAGAAGAGATTATTATAAAAAATCGATAAGATTCTGAAGTAAATTTTTATGGAAGATTATGAAGTATCTCAAATTAAAAAAAAGTAAGATACTATAATTGTAAGCGTTTTAGGAAGTAAAATCTAAATAAAGAAATACTCTTTTCGATTTAAAATTTTTTTTACTTTTATTATAATTTAATTTATCCATTCATATATTCCAAAACCAGATCATATGATTTCCGTATATTCAATTTTTTTCTATTTTATATATTTAAGTCTTATGATTTTTTTTTTTTCGACTTCTGTATATTTTAATATTTAAATAAAACTATGGTCATTTTTATAGAACCTTTAATAAAATTGGAAATGTCCAAACGTTTTTTCGCAAAGATATTAAAAATGGAAATCAAAATACAGTTAAAATATATATAAATATATATTTTTTTATCAGGAAAAAATGGATTTTCAAACTAAGGGTAGTAAGTTCAATTTTTATAAATCTGAAATAAATTTTATTTTATTTGCAAAAAGATATGACAATTTTGGCGAGTTCTATGTTCGAAATGTCAGTTATTCCAAGTGCATTAAGTTTTGTTATATTATGTAAATATACTTTAAGAAGAAATAAAAAAAATAACGCTAGTTTATTCATTACATGGAGAATTGTCTCGAATGATTCAAAATTTTAATCAGATGAAAGTAGAATACAGTCAACCCTCTCTAAATGCACCCCCTCGGGACCATAGTGAAAATTTTAAGAAATGCGCGTTTGAAGAGAGGGTGTGCATTTAAAGAGAAATTTTCAATATGAATTCCATATGCTTGGGACTGAACAAGAGCGTGCATTTAGAGAGAAAATTTATAGTGTGTGCATTTAGAAATCACTAATTACAATATCATATTTATTATTTTCATTTTCACATAAAATATTTCCACTATGAAAATCTCGATGTATAATTCCTTGATTATGAATCACTTTAAGTGCATCAATAATTTTTCGTAATATTTTCAATTTTTGATCCCATTCAAGATTATAAAAGTTTTCAATAATAAAATGTTTTAAATCATATTTATAATATTTCATAATTATTGCAAAATCTTTTGTAATAGGATTTTGAGTAATTCCATAATATCTATTTAAGTAAAATAAAGAATTTATAAATCCATCATTTAAATCAGCATTATATATCATCATAAGCTAAATTTAAAAAATTATATTAATATAAATAATTATATTAATATTAACAAATATAAATTAAATAATATACCTCATTTAATTCCTTTGAAGTAATATTTTTTGAATTATTAAGCTGTTTAAAGCAACTATCATATTAGAATCATTATATTCAAAATCTTCTTTATTTTCATTCCAATAAGGTGTACCATCATTCCAAATAGCTTTATAAACTTTACTAAATCCTCCTTCACCAATAAGTTCTATATTTTTAAATTGATCATAATAAATAAATTTCATTCTACTAGATTCTTGAATAAAATTAATTTGTGTATATTTAATAAATTCATCAACAGTATTATTACCACTTGGTTTAAATAATAATTTAGATTGATAACAAATTATACAAATTTTATGATATTCTTTTAAAAACCTTCTTTTTTTAAAACAATTATTATATTTATTATGAATATCATTTTCTGGTTCAATTATAAATCCTTTTACTGATGAAATCTTATTAATTTCATAAAAATCATTTGTTAATTTTTTATTTTTTACAGACATTTTAAACCAATAAATAGCTTATTCTAAATCACAAAATTGATATAAATTTGCAAGATTATATTATGCAATTGCATTATTATTTTCAGCAGCTTTTTGATATAAATCAAAAGATATTTTTAAATCTTGTTTTACTCCTTCACCATTTAAATATAATACTGCTAGATTATTTTGTGCACTTTCATTATTATTTTCAGCAGCTTTTTGATACCAATAAATGGTTTTTATCAAATTTTTTTCAATTCCTTCACCATTTTTATATAATAATGCAAGATTAAATTGTGCATTTGCATTATTATTTATAGCAGCTTTTTGAAACTAATAAAAAGCTTTTTCTAAATTCTTTTCAATTCCTTTACCATATTTATATAATAATCCTAAATGATTTTGTGAATTTATACAATTATTTTCTGCAGCTTTTTGATACCAATAAATAGCCTTTTCTAAATTATTTTTTTATTATATGATAATGCAAGACTAAATTGTGCATCTGCATTATTATTATTTGCAGCTTTTTGACACCAATAAAAGGTCTTTTCTAAATTTTTTTCTGTTTCTTTACCATTTTGATATAAGAATGCAAGATTACATTGTGCTTTAACATTATTATTTTTAGCAGCTTTTTGATACCAATAAAAGGATTTTTTAAATCTTTTTTTATTCCTTCACCTTTATAATATAATAATCCTAGATTATATTATGCATCTGCATCATTATTTTCAGCAGCTTTTTGATACCAATAAAAAGTCTCTTCTAAATTTTTTTTTATTCCTTCACCTTTATAATATAATAATCCTAGATTATATTATGCACTTATATTACTATTTTCAGCAGCTTTTTGATACCAATAAAAGGCCTTTTCTAAATTTTTTTTGATTCCTTTGCCTTTATAAAATAAGTTTGCGAGATTAAATTGTGCATCTGCATCATTATTTTCAGCAGCTTTTTGATACCAATAAAAGGTCTTTTCTAAATTTTTTTCTGTTCCTTTACCATTTTGAATGCAAGATTACATTGTGCATTTACATTATTATTTATAGCAGCTTTTTGGTACCAATAAAAGGTCTTTTCTAAATTATTTTTTTTCTCATATAATAGTCCAAGATTAAATTGTGCATCTGCAACATTATTTTCGGCAGCTTTTTGATGCCAATAAAAGGCTTTTTCTAAATTTTTTTCAGTTTCTTCATCCATATAATATAAGTTTGCAAGATTAAATTGTGCATTTGCATTATTATTTTCAGCAGCTTTTAGATACCAATAAAAGGCCGTTTTTAAATTCTTTTCTGTTCCTTTACCAAAACTATATGAACATGCAACATTAAGTTGTGCAAAAGCATTTCCATTTTTTGCGGATTTTTGATACCAATTAAATGCTAATTTATCGTTTACTGCAATTCCAAATCCTTACATATAGCATCTACCTAAATATAATTGCGCAATATGATGATCATTTGCTGCTTTTTGGAAGCATATAAATCCTACATTATTATTGACTGCTAGAATATGCAGGTTATAATAATAACAAATTCCAAGAAAGAAGACATATTTTGATTCATTTTGATTTACTTTAAGCCAGTTAAAAATAGCACCGATTGATTGAGTAGAAAGAGCAATGCATTTATTAATAAAGGGCTTCGTTTCTTTAAAATTTTTACCTTTATCATGTGTCTTAATCAATAGTATAAATAATTTATCGATTAACATATCAATATTATCTGTCGGATTAATAATTTCTAATATGACATTATGTTCCGCTTCTACTTTTGCCATGATTATTGGGATAAATAAAATGAGATATAGTAGAAACTGTTTATCTTTATAAAAAGGTTTGTATTTTGGTTTCACGTTCTTTTTAGAATGTCGAATCTGCAAATTAAATAGCTAAAACGAGAATGTTTATAATAAATTATGAACCAATTAACTGTGAGAAATATATCATGTGATTTTTTGTATAATGCAATACTTACGAAATTATTTGGATCTACTTAATTATCAAAGAATTTATCTTCTTTAAAAAGATTTAGTGGTGGCAAATTAATGAATAAAAATTTAATTCATTTATATGTATTGAAAATTAAATTTATAAATAATTCTTGTTTGTAATTGGAGCGATAAGCCAATAATCAAATAAAAAAGAATAATTATATGGATACGAGACATCATACCGAACCATCATGTAAAGATTATTCAAATATTTATTACGTTAACAATTTTGGTGAAAATTTATTTTTTTCCATTTACATAAATACTCATGAACTTTAAAAGTTTTCCATTGTGACGGTTTCTAGAGAGATATGAATATAAATTATCATATCAGTTTTTGAGTTTATGTTTTGACGAAATTATATCCTAAACTAAATTCAAAACTTTTTTTTCGCTGTAAATTAAGCCAATAACAAACAATCAATGAAACCATTATCAGAAACATTAATATAATAAGTTTAATTTAAAAATCAATTAATCCATTAGCATTAGTATAAAATAAATTCATTTTTTCTTTACTGCTTTCTATATTATAATTAATTGTTAATTCGATAGCATTTTTTATACTTTCCTTTCAAAATCTATTGTTTTTTTTACACCATTTTACAATATGGGGACTAGTCAATAGAAAAGGAGGTCAGATTTTGCCCTTTTTTACTGACGAGCTCCCATAAATTATAAAGGAAATTCGCAATTTGTAAAAGATATATCTGATGACGATGTGGCAACTTTAATGTTGGTGCTATAAAGTTATCAATAACGAACGAGCCATCATTTTTATAATTGAATTTATTTATTTATTTATTTTTTGAAACCATTATTCAAAGACCTTTAAAAGATCTTTCTTCCACATAAATGTAATAAAACGATTGCTATTTATGTCATTCCCTTATTAATGATTGTTAGTCATATTTCGTATTCAGGTTACCATGAACAAGAACCAAATGATTTCTTTTGTATTTTTTTTTAGAATCGAGGTTTTTTGTGACGACGAATTTGGTGAAAATCTTTTTAAATCAGGCTCGACTCATATTTAGTTTCCTCCATTTATATAGTTCCAAGGGGTGTGGTAATTATCTGTATACAAAATTTGTATTTCTTGTCAGGTGATAATTTTTAAGCGCAAAAATTTTTTATAAAGTTTTAATGAGCAAATTTATAAAATCATTTTACGTGCATAAATTAATTCAAATTTTAACAATTTATTTTGACACAAGATAAATTAAAAACAAATCGAAAACCGAAATGAGCATTTGGGGGCACATATCCCAAACGATCTTCGCATTTGGGATAGTTACATCATGACCAAAGACTGTAAGGCATGATATTTTCACAGTTATGATATAAGGTCATGTTAGTGCAAGTAACAATCCTAGAATTTTGAAATGTAATATATTTATTATTTTAAATTAAAGGTCTTTATATTTCGTGCATTGTAAAATACCTGGCTAATGATCCTTTCAAATGAACTGACCCTTCAAAACAAAATAAGCTACATCGAGCGCTTTGAATAGCTAGAAGCTTCTTGCTGATATTGAAATAGCCAGTAGGAAAAATTCGCTTTTTACACTCACCAAGTGTTGAAGCATTATCTTGAATAAATTTACCAATCTAAACAATATTTATTATCTGTTTAGCAATTTAATTACGACTTCTTTAATATGAAGTGTTTTTTTTTTAGTTATATGATTTTGTTGTATTTTATTTTATAAAAAAAAAAAAAAAGATTTGATTTGGAATATTAAATTTGGCGAAAGTCCCAAATCATTAGCACAAAGAGTTGTTTTCGATTTAGTGAATAAATGTCTTGACGCCTGCTTTATAGAATTTTGCGGTTTACGAAAACTTGATTAAATCATCGCCTGATTCACCCGCAGCCCGAATTGTCATTTCATGATGCAAGCAAAAAAAAAAGTTGTTAAGTTGAATTTGTTGGTTTAATTCCAAAAAAAAAGTAGAAAATAATAAACTTCTACATATTAAGTTAAGCAAACGTTTCGCTTATGAATATTTTAAACAACCTCAATTAACGTCACGATACTATATAAAAATTAGAGATAAGAAGTTTTATGTTGCACAAAAATATCTGACAGACAACAGTGTTAGATTACTTATTCTCTTTTTAAATTTAAATAATCTTTTGTAGAAACCGGATCTTTAAAGTTATATCAGGTTTTAATTTTTCAATCAAATTTCCTGATGCTCAATTATTAGCAAATTCTAGTTTATTTAATGATATAGTAACTAAGTTTATCATAAGCGATAAAAAACACATTGCCGATTTTGAACTATATTTTAAACTCATTTTTTGGCTCCAAGTAAACATGTTCCGCATGATTTGATTTTAATATTATAAACTTTTATATAATAATTGGCGGTAAATTTTAAAATAAAATTTCTTTTGCAATACGCAATTTTTTGCGGTGCGTTATGTCTCCCATTCATAAAATTACGTATCTACCCTTTCAACTATATGCGAAAATAAAAACTTATCGAAGTCTATTCATTTCAGTTTGTCTGTCAAGTCAGTGAGTTTATGCTATAATTTTCTTATTTCCCAATAAATTGCGTATATATATAAATCATTACTAAATTTATTTTCCTTTTCTATTCTTTGTTACAAGTATGTCGCGGTTGCTTTTCTTTATTTTTGCTTATTTTGATTCTAGCCTTTTATTTTTACAGAAGGAAGTAAAGCGAAAATAATGTTGCAGATGCACAATTTAATCTTGGACTATTATATGAGAAAAAAAATAATTTAGAAAAGA